TATTGGTGTTGAAAGGGAGCAATTGGGATCACACTTCAGGCTACTGGGAGCAACTGAGAGAAACTGGGATTGTGCTGCAAGCAAACTGGAGGAACTGGGAATGACTGGACACATGCTGGAGACAGTGGGAGCAGCTGGGTCCATGCTGGATAAGACTGGGATCATACTGAGGGTGACTGGAATCATACTGGCATTGACTGGGAGTGGTTGTGTGCAGCTGGAATCATGCTGAAAGCAACTGGGAGGAACTGGGAGTGGCTGGGAACATGCTGGGGGTGACTGGGATATACTGGGAGAGACTGGGAGCCATGAGGATCATACTGAAGGTTACTGGGGTCACACTGGCATTGACAGGGAGCAACTGGGATCACACTGGGGGCCACTGGCATCATACTGGGAGTGACTGGGATCATACTGGGATTATAGTGGGTGTCAATAGACCCTGACTGGGAGTTACTCAGAGCTACCAGGCCCACGCTGAGAGCCTACTGGGGATACACTGGGAGGAGCTGGGAATGACTGGATGCATGCTGGTGACAACTGGAATCTACTGGGAGTGACTGGGATAAAACTGGGGGCAGCTGAACCACGCTGAGGTAACTGGGAGTGCCTGGCAATGACTAAGAGAACGTTCAGGGCAAGTGGGATATACTGAGAGTGACTGAGACCATGCAGGTAGGGACTGGGACCACACTGGGAGCTACTGGGAATGTGCTAGGGGCAACTGGGACCACGCTGGGGGCAGCTGGGGGCAAGTGAGAGTGACTGGGGCCCTGCTAGGAGAGACTGGCATCGTACTGGACTCATACTGGGATCATACTGGGAGTGACTGGGACTATGCTGGGGGCAACTGGGAGAGCTGGGAACACACTGGGCCAACATGGGAGGAACCGGGAGCAACTGGGACCATGCTGGGGGCAAATGACATCGTAATGGGAAATGACTGGGAGTGACTGGGCTCATACTGGGAGCAACAGGGATCCTACAGGAAGTGCCCAGGATCATACTGGGAGTGCCTGGGCTCATACTGGGAGTGCCAAGGAAACTGGAAGCACACGTGGGGAGCACTGGGCTCATGCTGGGAGCAGCCCCTGCCGGCCCCCAAGCCCCGAACCCCTTTCCCGGCCGTGCCCCCCTCCAGCCCCAGCACTGCCAGGGGTCCCCTCCTCTCGGGGTCCTCCTTTGGCTTCTGGGGCTCTCCTCTCTCCAGGCTCCCGCTCAGGGAAACCGTGGCTCTCCCGGGGCTCCCCAAAACCGGTGCCCCCCGCCGGGGCTCTGCTGCCACCGCCCCCACCGGGACCCCCAAAAACACCTCCCGGGGACCCCCCGATGTCCCTCCGAGGGCCATCTGCGGCTCGGCTTTGGAGCCCTGCCAGCTCCAAACATCCCCCCACTGGACACATGCTGGAGACAGTGGGAGCAGCTGGGTCCATGCTGGATAAGACTGGGATCATACTGAGGGTGACTGGAATCATACTGGCATTGACTGGGAGTGGTTGTGTGCAGCTGGAATCATGCTGAAAGCAACTGGGAGGAACTGGGAGTGGCTGGGAACATGCTGGGGGTGACTGGGATATACTGGGAGAGACTGGGAGCCATGAGGATCATACTGAAGGTTACTGGGGTCACACTGGCATTGACAGGGAGCAACTGGGATCACACTGGGGGCCACTGGCATCATACTGGGAGTGACTGGGATCATACTGGGATTATAGTGGGTGTCAATAGACCCTGACTGGGAGTTACTCAGAGCTACCAGGCCCACGCTGAGAGCCTACTGGGGATACACTGGGAGGAGCTGGGAATGACTGGATGCATGCTGGTGACAACTGGAATCTACTGGGAGTGACTGGGATAAAACTGGGGGCAGCTGAACCACGCTGAGGTAACTGGGAGTGCCTGGCAATGACTAAGAGAACGTTCAGGGCAAGTGGGATATACTGAGAGTGACTGAGACCATGCAGGTAGGGACTGGGACCACACTGGGAGCTACTGGGAATGTGCTAGGGGCAACTGGGACCACGCTGGGGGCAGCTGGGGGCAAGTGAGAGTGACTGGGGCCCTGCTAGGAGAGACTGGCATCGTACTGGACTCATACTGGGATCATACTGGGAGTGACTGGGACTATGCTGGGGGCAACTGGGAGAGCTGGGAACACACTGGGCCAACATGGGAGGAACCGGGAGCAACTGGGACCATGCTGGGGGCAAATGACATCGTAATGGGAAATGACTGGGAGTGACTGGGCTCATACTGGGAGCAACAGGGATCCTACAGGAAGTGCCCAGGATCATACTGGGAGTGCCTGGGCTCATACTGGGAGTGCCAAGTGGGAGCCATGAGGATCATACTGAAGGTTACTGGGGTCACACTGGCATTGACAGGGAGCAACTGGGATCACACTGGGGGCCACTGGCATCATACTGGGAGTGACTGGGATCATACTGGGATTATAGTGGGTGTCAATAGACCCTGACTGGGAGTTACTCAGAGCTACCAGGCCCACGCTGAGAGCCTACTGGGGATACACTGGGAGGAGCTGGGAATGACTGGATGCATGCTGGTGACAACTGGAATCTACTGGGAGTGACTGGGATAAAACTGGGGGCAGCTGAACCACGCTGAGGTAACTGGGAGTGCCTGGCAATGACTAAGAGAACGTTCAGGGCAAGTGGGATATACTGAGAGTGACTGAGACCATGCAGGTAGGGACTGGGACCACACTGGGAGCTACTGGGAATGTGCTAGGGGCAACTGGGACCACGCTGGGGGCAGCTGGGGGCAAGTGAGAGTGACTGGGGCCCTGCTAGGAGAGACTGGCATCGTACTGGACTCATACTGGGATCATACTGGGAGTGACTGGGACTATGCTGGGGGCAACTGGGAGAGCTGGGAACACACTGGGCCAACATGGGAGGAACCGGGAGCAACTGGGACCATGCTGGGGGCAAATGACATCGTAATGGGAAATGACTGGGAGTGACTGGGCTCATACTGGGAGCAACAGGGATCCTACAGGAAGTGCCCAGGATCATACTGGGAGTGCCTGGGCTCATACTGGGAGTGCCAAGGAAACTGGAAGCACACGTGGGGAGCACTGGGCTCATGCTGGGAGCAGCCCCTGCCGGCCCCCCAGCCCTGAACCCCTTTCCCGGCCGTGCCGCCCCTCCAGCCCCAGCACTGCCAGGGGTCCCCCCCTCTCGGGGTCCCCCTTTGGCTTCTGGGGCTCTCCTCTCTCCAGGCTCCCGCTCAGGGAAACCGTGGCTCTCCCGGGGCTCCCCAAAACCGGTGCCCCCCGCCGGGGCTCTGCTGCCACCGCCCCCACCGGGACCCCCAAAAACACCTCCCGGGGACCCCCCGATGTCCCTCCGAGGGCCATCTGCGGCTCGGCTTTGGAGCCCTGCCAGCTCCAAACATCCCCCCACAAAAAACCCCAAACCCAGGCACCCCCGGGGTATTTAGGGTGAGCTCCCCCTCCCCGGGCACCCGCGGGATGGGGGACGATGCTCCCGGGGTGCTGTGAGTTCAGGCAGCGCCGGAGGCCCGCGCTTCATCCTCCCCTCTCCTCCTGCTGCTTTCTGCTACCGCTCCGCCTCTTCCTCCCTTCCTCCTCCTCCTCCCCCGTTCCTAAAGCCCTCGCAGCCCACAGCAGGAGCGGGGCTGGAGCCGGGACAGGTCGGGATGGGCAGCGCGGGGCTCTCGGCTGCTCCCACCCGCTGGGGCCGGGGGGAACCCAGCCCGGGGAAAAGGAGAGGCAAACTGGGAAAACTGAGGGCTGCACATCCCAGCTGGGGCTGGCTGGGGACCGCCAGCCCTTGGGGCTGATGCCCAAAAGACAGGCTGGAAATGAATCCCCACAGCCCGGTGTCTGTAGAGCAGGTATTTGTTCAGTGCATCGCTGGAGGTGAGGGGGTTTCTCCTCCTCACTCACCCCCCTTTGTCAGTGCTGTGGTGTATTTATACAGCCGGTGTGGCTCGGTGTCACTGTGTCACTGCAACATCATCACATACCCGCAGGAACTCATTTACAGGGTATCAGCTCGTGGTTATCAGACAGTTCTTCTGCACTGCCCTTGTGCCTCCCCAGTTCGGGTCTGTGGGGGGGTCTGTGATGAAGGCTTCCAAGGTCTTCTTCACATCTGAACTTTTCAACTTTGTCTTCAGAGCATGCACAGTTACGGTGCTCCTTCATCTGTCTGGTCTTAACCGGATAATCTAAATTCTTTGTTTTGTGGCTGATTTGCTTTGCACTTGCGAATTTCTCATCAGTACTATGCTTACTTATTTCTAAAGCTATCCATCTGGTGAGGGGGTTTTTTCTTCTTTTTTTGTCTATTAAGCATAAGCAACTAGTTAACCATATACTAGCCATTACACAATATAGAAAGCAATTTAGATCAGGTTATATAGGTATAAAATTTATATTTCAGGTTATATAGGTATAAAAAGCTATGATTCAGGTTATATAGGTATCAGATTATACAGATATATAAAAAGTCATGACTTAGGTTATATAGATATGTCAGGTTATATTGATATCTTATAACCCAAGCTATATCAGCACCTTGTAACTTTGATCCAAGTTCTGTCAGCACCAGGGCTCTTCCCAAAGGCGTGGAGATGTTGGAGCAGGGACTGCAGAGACGGATGAAGGATCCCAAGAGTGGGATTTTGGGGACAGCATCCATGGGGATGGGAATGTCCCACTCCCTTGCTGGAGCAGGGTCACACCTGAGCCAGGTGTGCAGGGCAGGGCCTTGCCCTGACCCCAAGCTCTGTCCCAGCTGCAGGATCTGCTTCCCATCAGCTCTTCCTGCTGCGGCCCCGAGCCCAGCTTGGTGCTGCACAAAGGGGCTGGGCCGGAGTCATCCCCCATCGGGGGCTGTACACCCCCTCTGCCCCCTCCCCAAATTCTCTCTGGGGGAGCAGGAGCTGAGGCAGGAGCCCTGTGGGGAGGGACAAGGGGGTGACACCGGGATGGGGGGCTCATTATACAGATATATAAAAAGTCATGACTTAGGTTATATAGATATGTCAGGTTATATTGATATCTTATAACCCAAGCTATATCAGCACCTTGTAACTTTGATCCAAGTTCTGTCAGCACCAGGGCTCTTCCCAAAGGCGTGGAGATGTTGGAGCAGGGACTGCAGAGACGGATGAAGGATCCCAAGAGTGGGATTTTGGGGACAGCATCCATGGGGATGGGAATGTCCCACTCCCTTGCTGGAGCAGGGTCACACCTGAGCCAGGTGTGCAGGGCAGGGCCTTGCCCTGACCCCAAGCTCTGTCCCAGCTGCAGGATCTGCTTCCCATCAGCTCTTCCTGCTGCGGCCCCGAGCCCAGCTTGGTGCTGCACAAAGGGGCTGGGCCGGGGTCATCCCCCATCGGGGGCTGTACACCCCCTCTGCCCCCTCCCCAAATTCTCTCTGGGGGAGCAGGAGCTGAGGCAGGAGCCCTGTGGGGAGGGACAAGGGGGTGACACCGGGATGGGGGGCTCACACACGGCCCCTGGGGATCCCCCCTCACTCCCGTGGTGCCAGGAAGACAAACCCCTACATGGAGCCCCTGTCCCTCGGCAGCACCTTGTGGGCAGGCTCTGGCAGCAGCTCTGGGTGTCTGCGGGGTCACGACTGCCCTAAAACCCTCTCCCAGCCCCACTGCCACTCCCAGCTCCCTCAAACCATCCCACAGATCCTGGCTGCCCCCATACCCCAAACCACTCTGTGCAAGAGAAATGGCCCCAAGATCCATCAAAACTCTTTCCCACCTCTCCCAAGACCCATCCAAGTTCTCTCCAAGCCACACAGCCCTTCCAGAACTCCCAAAACTCTCCCACAGACCCCTCCAAAGCTCCCTTAACCTGCTCCCAGCACCACAAATGCAGCCAAGAGACACCAAAACCCCTTCCAATCCTCTCAGGATCCCCTAAACTCCTTCCCAGCCCCCCATGGCACTGACCAGTAGAGGTTTGCGGACAGGAACATCCGCAGCTGGGAGCAGCTCAGGCACTTCAGCAGCTTTTTGGGCACTACCATCCCTTTGAGCTCTTCCCAGAGGCTTAGAGATGTTAGAGGGAGGACTGCAGAGAAGGATGAGGGATGCCAAGAGTGGGATTCTGAAGACAGGATGAAGGCCTGTATGAGCCACTTGCTGTTGTGTTGGTTTGGGGGCCCCCCTGGTGGTCCCGGGGCCCCAGGATGCAGAGCTGTCACCACCTCCTTCTTCGGGTGGTGGCTTTAGTGGGACCTCCATTCCTTGGGGCTCTTCCTGCAGCCAGAGAACTTGTAGGGATCTTCCTCCGGGTGGGTCCTCCAGGTGTTCCATGAGCTTTGGGCTCCTACTGGAAGTGACTGGGCTCTCCTGGGATCATATGGAGATGATACTGGGAGTGACTGGGAATGACTCCAAGCATGCTGAGGGCAACTGGGATATATTGGGAGTGTCTGTAACCTTATTGGGAGTGACGGAGACCACACTGGGAACAATAGGGACCATGCTGGAGGCAACTGGGAGCAAGTGGCAGTGACTGGATCTACACTGAGGGAAACTGGGTGTGACTGGAACCCTGGTGGAAGAGACTGGGATCATACAGGGAGTGACTGGGACTATGCTAGAGGCCATTGGTATCTCACTGGGAGGGACAGGGAGCAACTGGAATCATGCTGAGGGCAGCTGGGATCATACTGGGAGTGACTATGCTCTGGGAAGCACAGGATGGTGAGGAGCAGGAGGACAACTCCCATCCCAGCCCCACAAATATGCCCCCAGCCCCTGGCTCCCCCTACTCACCCCTGCTCTGACTGTGCTGGACTTGCAGCATCTCCAGGTTGGCAGGGGATGTGCTGAGCACACTCGCTAGCCTGGCTCTGAGAATCCCAATATTCCAGCTCAAATCTGGCCCTGCTCAAAGGGAGTTCCATCCAGGTGCACCCGAACATGGGTGAGGAGGCTGGAGCACTGACTGAAGCTCTTCCCACATTCCAAGCACTTGTAGGGCTTCTCCCTGCCATGAAGATGCTCATGGACAACCAGCTCTGAGCTCTTCCTGAAGCTCTTTCCACCTTTCTGGCCCAGGGGGGGTCTTTCCTCCTCAGAGCAGCCTGGGCTGGGTTTGGAGCCCCTCCTCGTGTGGGATCTCCAGGGCTTTTCCGCCCCGTTGGATTCCTGTGCTGTGGAGTCACTCAAAACGGCCTCTTCCACGAGGTTCTGCTTTGGGGATTTGTCCTCCCTGCTCTCCATCCTCAGCTCCTTGTCTGCGGAAGGAAGGACAAGGAGAGGATGGGATTTGCCTCTGTGCAGAGGGAAGGGGAAGGAGATCTCCCCAGTCCATCCCCAGCAGGACAGCGTTGGCATCAGGGTTGTCCTGCAGCCAGGGGCCGTGCTGGGCTGGGAGATGGAGCAGGAGAGAGGGGGAAAGGGGCACTGACTTCCTCCTCACCTGCCTGGGTGTCCTGGGACATCTTCCTCTTCCTCGCAGCCTTCTCCATGTGCCCAAACTTTGGGAACTGGAATTTCTGTTTTGGGGGAAAACAAGATGTGAGTGCATTGGCTTGGCTGTTCCTCCTGCCCAAGTCCATCTCTAGAAGTCACCAGGTGTCTGGTATCCATAAAAACCTCCAGACCACCAAGATTCAGCTACCCTCAAAAAACCCCAAACCACCAAGATTCAGCAAAAAAACACCCACCAAGGAGTTCCCCTCTCTGGTCTCCCTACTTTGGGGTTCAGGGGCTCCCTCCTGTCTGGGCTTCTGCAGCTCCAGTGTGTATTGGTATCCCCTCTCTCTGGGCTGCTGGGGCTCCTGGCAATCCCAGAGGTTCCCTTCTCTGGGCTGCCCCTGTGGGTATCAGTGGGGCTCAGGGGTTCAGCCTGTGTGGGGTCCCCGTTTCACGGCCCCGGGGTACCCATGGGTCTCCCTTGTCCATGGTCCCAACATCTCCAGGCTGCCGGGGTTCCCCCTATCTGGGCTTCACGTTCCAGGCTCCCGAGGGTCCCCCTTACGGGGACGTCCGACCCCGCAGGCTGCAGAGGGTCCCCAGCTCCGGTACCGCCCTCTCCGCTCTCCCAGCCCCAGCCCCGCCGGTACCGGCGATCGCCCCGTGGCTCCGGGCTGGAATGCAGCGCCTGACCCGTGCAGCCCAGCCCCCCGGCCCAGCGCCGGGGCTCTGCCGGCAGCCAGCACCAGCACCCCAAAATTCTGCCGGATCAGAGCCGCTGAGCGGGCGCCCGGCCCTTGGCCCTTTTATAGATATATGTTATAATATTGGCTGTTCAGAAATGTTAAAAATGGATTTTATATGTGGTGTTAAGAAAAAACTTTGTTATCTAGTTTTTATTTCTGTTGTTAATTAAGCTTAGTGAAATAGCTGATATAAGTATGCTTGTGTTAAAATGCCGGCTTGGATGGGATAACATCCAGTGAACACAGGATGAGGACCTGCTGCAGATGTGCCAACCATCAGCACCCACTGTCTGAAGACAGAGTGGGCCGGGGCCAAAACTGAAGGTTATGGTAAAAAAGGACCAAAACCACAACCAAGGCATACGCATGCTCTAAAAAGGTGGAACCAAGGAGGAGCCATGCTAAACAGTTCTTGGAATATGTAAACTAGTTTGAGAAAAAAAGTTTACTATGCATAAGGGTCTATGAATATGCAACAGGCTGATGGAAGGGAAAAGGTATTTAAGAGGTATCCCCGAAGATAAGTGTGCTCTTGGTTCAGTGCCAAGATGCACCCGGCCGTAATAACCTTTGCTCGATGGTCCTTGTCTCCTATTGTCCTTTATTAAACTCTTTACATTTTCACAGGAGAGTGAACGTGTTTTCCACAGCCCCGAGCAGAGAGCTGTGCCCGGGCGCTCCGGGGGAAGACGGCGGCGCTCGGCAGCGGCCCCAGCCCGCGGCAATTGCCCGAAATCACCGGGACAAAATCCTGCCCCGAAGGAGGCCCTTGGAACGCCCGCCTGCGGCTCCTCCGTGCCCCAGAGATCCCGGCAGCTGTCCCGCTGTCGCAGCTGCGGCTCTGGAGCAGGGAGGCTCTGCGGGACCCCCGGGCTGTGCCCCCTCCCAGCCCGTGCCCGCCCGCTGCTGATGCTCGGCCCGGGCTCTCTCGCCGCTCCGGCTCCCGCAGAGTCCCGCTGTGACCGGCCCCGAGCCCTGCCCAGCGAAGGGTCAGTGTCCATCGCCGGCCCCTGCCGGGCTCCGGCCGCTGCCCGCCCCCGGCACAAGCTGCAGCTCCCAGCGCAGCTCCCTGGAGCCGGGCACTGCGGGTTCCCAACCAGGGAACATTCAGTTCCTGGCATCTCTGTTATCTCTGCTCACATGTGCACAACCAGCTGCTGCTGAGGCAATCCTAGCTCCCACTGAAGACTTCCCACCCAAAATGCTACATTCAGGTCTGACACACCATTAAGAAATCCAAGAGCAAAAGAGTCAGCTGATTACAGAGTCTTGAAAAATTCGAGAACATTTTGTTCTAAAATTACAAATATTAACAGAAGCTGAGAAAGTCAACAATGTTAGAAAACAAGCTTCCAGCACTGGGACTACAAGAGCTCAGGCAATGCATTTGATTGGAAGGAGACCTCCCTTTCTGACATGTGAGCAATGCCATGGACTTTCCCAAACCAGGGAAGCAGGGAGCCCTGGCAGCAGCAGCTTCACACACAGCAATGACACAGAACAGGGCAGGGCAAGAGGCTGACGAAATTATAACTTCTACTTGAAATTAAGAACTTTTGTTTTTATAGTTCTACTATAGCCGCTATTTACAAATATAGAGTCAAAAATACTAAAAATACTACAAATAAAAATATTTGTAGTAATAAAAATAATAACTTGATGTTAATAGCAATAATAGTGACAATAGCAATAAGAATTAATAATGGTAATAAAAACCCTACCATACTTATACTTGGTTTGCATGGCCAGATTTGGGTAAGGGGGAGCTCTAGGAGCACCTTCTGTGAAAGGCTGGAAGCAGCTGCTCCTCCATCTCCCACAGAGTCAATTCCAGCTGGCTCCAGGATGGACCGGCCAAGGCTGGGCCAGTTGGAAATGGTGGTAACACCTTTGGGAAAAGAGATTTAAGAAAAAGAAAGTGGGCGATCGTGAAGCTGTAACTGTGAGCAGGGAAGAGCAGGGTGAGAACATGTGAGAGGAACAACTCTGCACATCCCAGGGCAGGGCAGGACAGGAGGAGGGACAGGAGCTGCTCCAGGTGTGGAGCTGGTTGCCCTGAGATTCCCTGGGGCAGTCCCTGGGGAGGCAGCCGGGCCCTGCAGCCCATGGAGGGCAGGGAGAGCAGAGATGCACCTGCAGCGCCTGGAGGAGCCCGTGCTGGAGCAGGGGGTGCCTGAGCGGGGCTGTGACCCCACGGGAAAGCTGTGCTGGAGCAGGGACCTGGCAGGGACCTGCAAACCCGTGGAGAGAGGAGCCCAGGCTGGAGCAGGGGCCTGGCAGGACTTGTGAGGCCATGGGAGTGTGAGGCACGCTGCAGCAGTTTGTGAAGAGCTGCTGTCCCTGAGATGAACTCACCCGGGAGAAGTTCATGGAGAAGTGTCTGGGGGAGGGACCCCTGGCACAGCAGGGAACGACTCCTCTCCCGAGCAGCAGGAGAAACAAGGAGTGATGAACTGAGCAGAACCCCCATTGCCTGTCTCCACCCACTGGGGGAGGAGGCAGAGCTGGGCAGAAGGTTTTCTAAAGCTTTATTTTACTTCTCACTATCCTGCTTTGATTTTGATAGCAATAAATTCAATTAATGTCTCTAATTTTGAACCTGTTTTGTCCATGATGGCATCTGCTGAGGGATCTGTCCTAGTCTTTATCTCAACCTGTGAAGCCTTCATTCTATTTTCTCTCTTCTGTCTATCTGTGGAAGGGAGTGAGCAGCTTTGGTGAGTGCCTGGCATCCAGCCAGGGTCAACAGGCTACATGGGTTTTTCTTTTCTTTTCTTTTCTTTTCTTTTCTTTTCTTTTCTTTTCTTTTCTTTTCTTTTCTTTTCTTTTCTTTTCTTTTCTTTTCTTTTCTTTTCTTTTCTTTTCTTTTCTTTTCTTTTCTTTTTTCTTTTTTTTTTTTTTCCTTTCCTTTCCTTTCCTTTCCTTTCCTTTCCTTTCCTTTCCTTTCCTTTCCTTTCCTTTCCTTTCCTTTCCTTTCCTTTCCTTTCCTTTCCTTTCCTTTCCTTTCCTTTCCTTTCCTTTCCTTTCCTTTCCTTTCCTTTCCTTTCCTTTCCTTTCCTTTCCTTTCCTTTCCTTTCCTTTCCTTTCCTTTCCTTTCCTTTCCTTTCCTTTCCTTTCCTTTCCTTTCCTTTCCTTTCCTTTCCTTTCCTTTCCTTTCCTTTCCTTTCCTTTCCTTTCCTTTCCTTTCCTTTCCTTTCCTTTCCTTTCCTTTCCTTTCCTTTCCTTTCCTTTCCTTTCCTTTCCTTTCCTTTCCTTTCCTTTCCTTTCCTTTCCTTTCCTTTCCTTTCCTTTCCTTTCCTTTCCTTTCCTTTCCTTTCCTTTCCTTTCCTTTCCTTTCCTTTCCTTTCCTTTCCTTTCCTTTCCTTTCCTTTCCTTTCCTTTCCTTTCCTTTCCTTTCCTTTCCTTTCCTTTCCTTTCCTTTCCTTTCCTTTCCTTTCCTTTCCTTTCCTTTCCTTTCCTTTCCTTTCCTTTCCTTTCCTTTCCTTTCCTTTCCTTTCCTTTCCTTTCCTTTCCTTTCCTTTCCTTTCCTTTCCTTTCCTTTCCTTTCCTTTCCTTTCCTTTCCTTTCCTTTCCTTTCCTTTCCTTTCCTTTCCTTTCCTTTCCTTTCCTTTCCTTTCCTTTCCTTTCCTTTCCTTTCCTTTCCTTTCCTTTCCTTTCCTTTCCTTTCCTTTCCTTTCCTTTCCTTTCCTTTCCTTTCCTTTCCTTTCCTTTCCTTTCCTTTCCTTTCCTTTCCTTTCCTTTCCTTTCCTTTCCTTTCCTTTCCTTTCCTTTCCTTTCCTTTCCTTTCCTTTCCTTTCCTTTCCTTTCCTTTCCTTTCCTTTCCTTTCCTTTCCTTTCCTTTCCTTTCCTTTCCTTTCCTTTCCTTTCCTTTCCTTTCCTTTCCTTTCCTTTCCTTTCCTTTCCTTTCCTTTCCTTTCCTTTCCTTTCCTTTCCTTTCCTTTCCTTTCCTTTCCTTTCCTTTCCTTTCCTTTCCTTTCCTTTCCTTTCCTTTCCTTTCCTTTCCTTTCCTTTCCTTTCCTTTCCTTTCCTTTCCTTTCCTTTCCTTTCCTTTCCTTTCCTTTCCTTTCCTTTCCTTTCCTTTCCTTTCCTTTCCTTTCCTTTCCTTTCCTTTCCTTTCCTTTCCCTCATTGTTTCTTTCCCATTCTTTTGTTCTTTCCAGAGGCCACCGTGAAGAGGTTGAGAGGGGCTTTGATGGAGGGAGTGAAGGTGGCGGGGAGTAGCGGGGACAGGAGGCACAGGGACGTGGGACAGGCATCAGAAGGGCCCGGGCAGCTGTCAGGGGGCAAGGCCTGTCCCCCCGGGCCAGCAGCAGCCCTGTGCCCTGCCCAGGGCGCTCCCAGCAGGGCTGGCCCCAGAGGCAGGGGCAGAGCCCAGTCCCGGGGCGGCGCTTGTGCCCCGAGCCCCGTCCAGCCCAGCCTGCCCCGAGTGCGCAGTGAGCGCTGGCACGGGCTGCACTGGACAGCGTGACCTGCTGGGGACACTGAGAGCTGCGCTGTGACACTGCCTGGGACTGCACAGGCACCACAGAAACCCCAGCCAGCACCACCCCTGTCATGTCCCAGGCACCAGAGCACATCCCAGCCCCGCTCTGGTGACGTCCCAGGCACAGAGCACATCCCAGCCCTGCTGCTGGTGATGTCCCAGGCACAGAGCACATCCCAGCCCCGCTCTGGTGATGTCCCAGGCACCAGAGCACATCCCAGCCCCGCTCTGGTAATGTCCCAGGCACCAGAGCACATCCCAGCCCCGCTCTGGTAATGTCCCAGGCACCAGAGCACATCCCAGCCCTGCTCCTGGTGACGTCCCAGGCACAGAGCACATCCCAGCCCTGCTGCTGGTGATGTCCCAGGCACCAGAGCACATCTCAGCCCTGCTCCTGGTGACGTCCCAGGCACAGAGCACATCCCAGCCCTGCTGCTGGTGACGTCCCAGGCACCAGAGCACATCCCAGCCCCGCTCTGGTGACGTCCCAGGCACAGAGCACATCCCAGCCCTGCTGCTGGTGATGTCCCAGGCACCAGAGCACATCCCAGCCCTGCTCCTGCTGATGTCCCAGGCCCTAAAAGTGTCCCTGGTGTGGGAAGAGCTTCACCCAGCACTCAGCCTTGACCAAACACCAATAGAGGTACCACCAAGGGAATCCCTGCCAGTGCCCAGAGTGTGGGAAGAGCTCCTTGCGCTGCTCCAGCTCCATCCCCCACGGGAGGCTCTGCACTGGATGATCCCCAGTGACCCTGGTGGGCAGAGCCCCGGTGATCCATGGTGCTGGTGATCCATGTTGGGAAGACACCTGGATGGGGGCTCCACATCCTCCTGACTCCCCGTGGCATGGATTTTCTTTTCATATATCTTCATCCTTTCAAAACACCCAATACCGGGGTAAAAATAAAGATGTTGAAGTAAAACATGGATGGGGACATGGTGGGTGCATGGCCATGGACAGTGACATGGGGAGATCTTCCAGGGAATGTGGGGCATGCTTGTTTAGAGGGAGTTGAGGGCTCCTGGGAAGGACTTGGGGGTTGCTCAGGACTTTGGGGACACCAGGCCGAGTGGCTCCAGTTGCTTTGGAAGATGCTGGTGGAGGTTCTGGGGCAGCTGATCAAGGACCCCCTGCCCTGGAACTGTCCCCATGTCCCACTTCCCGGTGTCCCCTGTAGTGGATGCCCCTCTCCCCGCTGTCATTCCCCTTTCCCCCGGCCATTCCCCTGTCACCCCACTCCCGGTCCAGTTCTGCTCCCTTCCCACTCCCTGTCCCCATTCCCGCTCCCATTCCCCATTCCCATTCCCTGTCCCCATTCCCGCTCCCTGTCCCCATTCCCACTCCCTGTCCCCATTCCCGCTCCCATTCCCCATTCCCATTCCCTGTTCCCATTCCCGCTCCCTGTCCCCATTCCCTGTCCCCAGTCCCATTCCCGCTCCCTGTCACCTCTCACCGGACGCCGCCGCCATCGCTCCGGTCCTCCCGCGGCCCTCCCGTGACCGAGGAACGCCCGCGCTGCTCCCGCCCACCAATCCCAGTGCGCGATCGTTCCTGTATTTGCATAACCACGCCCTTTGCTTCGGCCCCGCCCCCAGCCGGCTGCAGCCGCGTCCCGGCGCTGTTTGCTCCCAGTTCCCTCCCAGCGCTCCCAGTAAGAGCGGGACTGGCAGGGAGGGCGCTCCCAATTCCTGCCCGGTGCTCTCACCATCGCTCATAGCGCTCCCAGCAAGAGAGGACTGGCAGGGAGAGCGCTCCCCATTCCTGCCCGGTGCTCTCACCATCGCTCCCAGTAAGAGCGGAACTGGCAGGGAGAGCGCTCCCAGTTCCTGCCCGCTGCTCTCACCATCGCTCCCAGCGCTCCCAGTGTCGCTCCCAGAGCCGGGCGGGGCGGGGCCGCTTTGGAACCCCCCGGGCAGAGCGCGGCTGCTTTTGGGTGTCGGCACCGCCCGGGCCGGGCTGGGAGCGGAGCAGGAGCTGCAGGGAGAGGAGGGAGAGAGGAAAATAAAAAGGAAAGGGAAGGAGAGGATCGAGAGGAAAAGGAGCAGGACGAGGAGGGAAAAGGAGGAGCGGGAGAGGAGCAGCAGTAGCAGCACCACGCGGCTGCCCCGGTTCCGCCGGCATCGCCCCCCGGCGCCGCAGGTGAGCGGGGAGGGGGAGTCGCCCCAAATCCATCGCGGGGGTCTCCGGGAGGGTTTTTTTGCGGGGCAGGGGATGTTTGGATCTTGCAGAACCCCAAAGCTGAGCCGGAAATGGCCCTGCCCTGTCCCGGCACGGAGGGGGCAATACCGGCTTTGGGGATCCCCGGGAGAGCCGGGGGCAAGGCGGGAGCCTCGGATTGGAGAGAGCTCCCCGGAGAGGGGCGATCCCGGTGCAGAGGAGCCCCTGGAAGCCTGGAGGAGTGGGGGAGGCTGGGATGAGCGGGCTCTGGGCCCCCCGAGGCTGCAAGGGGCGATGACCTCCTGCTGCCCTTGGGCGGCGGCACCATCAGAGCCAACACGCTCAGCCCTTATTTTGCCCCCCAAACCAGGATTTCCCATTCCCAAACTTCGGCCCGATGGAGGAGGAGAACGAGGCTGCGAGGAGGAGGAAGATGCCCCGGGACACTGAGGCAGGTAAGGAGGAAGTCAGTGCCCCTTTTCCCCTCTCTCCTGCTCCATCTCCCAGCCCCCGGCTGCAGGACAACCCTGCTGCCAACGCTGTCCTGCTGGGGATGGACTGGGAGGATCTCCTTCTCCTTCCCTCTGCACGGAGGCAAATCCCATCCTCTCCTTGTCCTTCCTCCTGCAGACAAGGAGCTGAGGATGGAGAGCAGGGAGGACAAATCCCCAAAGCAGAACCTCGTGGAAGAGGCCGTTTTGAGCGGCTGCACAGCACAGGAATCCAATGGGGAGGAAAAGCCCTGGAGATCCCACAGGAGGAGGGGCTGCAAACATGGATCACGGGGATCCGAGGAGGAAAGACCCACCCTGTGCCAGGGAGGCGGCTGGAGCTCAGAGCTGGGGGTCCCTGAGCAGCTTCACAATAGGCAGAAGCTCTACAAGTGCTCCAAATGTGGGAAGAGCTTCAGAAAGAGATCCTACCTGATCAATCATTTTAGAATGCACACTGGGGAACGGCCCTACGAGTGCGGGCAATGTGGAAAGAGCTTCAGATGGAGCTCCCACCTGAACTCCCACATGGGAATCCACACTGGAGAAAGGCCCTATGAGTGTGGGGAGTGTGGGAAGAGCTTCAGCCAGAACTCCAACCTGATCCGCCACCAGCGCATCCACATTGGGGAGAGGCCCTACGAATGTCCTGAGTGCGGGAAGAGCTTCACAGCCAGATCCAACCTAACTGTCCACCAGAGGAGCCACACCGGGGAAAGGCCCTACAAGTGTGACAAATGCAGCAGGAGGTTTCAGATCAGCTCCAATCTCCTCCAGCACCAGCGCACGCACACAGAGGAGAGGCCCTTCCGCTGCCCTGACTGCAGGCAGGGCTTCAGGGACAAGTACAGCCTCCTCAGGCACCAGCACATCCACACCGGGGAGAAGCCCTATGAGTGTCCCAAGTGTGGGAAGAGCTTCAGTTTGAGGTCCAACCTGATAATCCACCAGAGCAGCCACACGAAGGAACGACCCTACGAGTGTGGGGAGTGCGGGAAGAGCTTCGCCTACAACTCCAGCCTGATCCGCCACCAGAAGATTCACACAGGGGAGAAGCCCTACGAGTGTGATAAATGCAGGAAAAGGTTTCAGACCAGCTCCAGTCTCCTCCTGCACCAGCGCACACACACAGAGGAGAGGCCCTTCCGCTGCCCCGACTGCAGGAAGGGCTTCAGGCACAACTCCACCCTCGTGAGGCACCAGCGCATCCACACCGGGGAGAGTCCCTACGAGTGTCCCCAGTGTGGGAAGAGCTTCAAGACGAGCTATGAACTGACTGCCCACCAGAGGAGCCACACAGGGGAACGGCCCTACGAGTGTGGGGAGTGTGGGAAGACCTTCAGCCAGAGCTCAAACCTGACTGCCCACCAGAGGATCCACACCAGGGAGAGGCCCTATGAGTGTCCCCAGTGTGGGAAGAGCTTCTCACAGAGGTCAGCCTTGACCCAACACCAACGCAGCCAGCACTGAGGGAAGCTGTGGGAGTGCCCCGAGTGCGGGAGCAGCTTTGTGTGCTGCTCCAGCTCCCCAACTCCATCCCCCACGGGAGGATCCGCGCTGGATGATCCCCAGTGACCCCCGGTGCTGGGGCAGAGCCCCAGTGATCTGTGGTGCTGGTGATCCATGTTTGGAAGACACCTGGCTGGGGGCTCCACATCCTCCTGGCTCCCTGTGGACACCTGGACACATCCACTGACCAACATCAGAAATCCATTGTGGAGAGCAGATTTGTCAACTTCTGACCCCAGAAAAATCTCACTTTTTGCATCTTTTGATCGCATCAAGTAACACTGGATGGCCTTGGAGGTCTTCTCCAACATAAATCCATCCTTTTAATTCTCTCTGGCCCATGGGAATTTTCCACAGCCAAATGGGGTTGGATTGGGGCAAAACCCATGGTTCTGGAGACAGTGGGGTAGAAACCCCTCCAAAAAAAGTTCTCTCCATCCACCCAAGCATGTGGATGCTCTGCTGGCAGGGACACATAAATCCTTTTGTTTTGGCCTTCAAACACAAAGGTTTCTGTTCATACCTTTGAAAGCCCTGAAACTGGGGTAAAAATAAAGACATGGAACTATGGCATGGATGGGCACATGTGGGTACACAGCCATGGGTGGGGACATGGGAGGACAAGAACATGAATGGAAACATGAAATGGGACAGCATCAATGCCACCATTGTGCCACCACAGTGCTGCCAGCACCAGCACCTTCATCTCAGCCAAGGTGAAGCGCTGCCTGATGCAGTTCCTGCCACCGCAGCCCCCCTGCCACCATTGTGATGTCCCAGCTGAATGTCACCCCTACCAGGGCAGGATGGGAACTGGTTCAGCTGGTGACAAGTGGCTCAGGAGCAAGTGACAGCCACCAGGGTGTCCCAGGGCCACTGCGCTCAGGGGACCCCAACCACCCCTGGGGACAGGGCAGGGGTCAGTGTCACCCACAGGGGTCATGTGGGCCCATGCTGGGTGTCACTGGAGGTGTCCTGGTGGTAGGGTCCCCACAGGTGTGGTGACGTTGTCCCCTGGTGTGTGTCCTGGTAGCATCATGTCCCTTCTGTTTGTCCCCATCCCCTGCCATGGCTCTCTGTCACCCCTCTGTGTGTCCCTGTGCCCCCTGCGAGTCCCTGTCCCCATCTCCCCCGATTGTTCTTGTCCCCTTCTGTGTGTCCCAGTCCCTCCCACTATGTCCCTGTTCCCCGCTCCCGCTGGGGCAAAGTCCCCGAGGTCCCTGGCCTGGAGCAGGGTGTCCCTCTGTCCCTCAGCATGTTCCCGTGGCTACTCCTGGTGCTGAGCGTCTGTGCCCCCCCCCGCACAGGTAGGGACACACCACAACACCCTGTGACAGCCTGTGACATCCTGTGACCCCGTGACAACCACTGTCCTCTGATTTTGGGTCCTCCCCCCCCCCCATTTTGGGCCCTTTCCCCGTGTTTTGGGTCCTTCCCCGCCCATTTTGGATCCTTTCCCTCCTATTTTGAGTGCTTTCCCCTCTGGTTTGGATCCTTTCCCCCAATTTTGGGAACTCAGCCCTTGCTTCTGGTACTTTTTTGCGTGCATCCCCCCCACTCAATCCCTCTCCCAGCCCTTAACTCCCCTCACCAGTCACCCCCTGTCCCCCCAGGCATGACCCCAGCTGTCCCCACTGTGCCACATGGATTTGGTGCTCACCATCCTGGATGCCCTCGAGTCCCCGGCCCAGGACTGTGGATCTTCTCTTCCAGGAGATCCAGAGCTGGCCCGGTTTCCAGGGGACACTGGTGGCACCAAGGCTCAGGGTGGGTGGCCTGGTGGGGTTGGTGGGAGGGGGTTTGGGGTCATCTTGGGACTGACCGTGGGTCTTGTCCACTCTGCAGTGAGGAGGGGCCCCAGCCAGGGAGCCCGGGATGGACGTGGGCAGGAGAGGTTGGACATGGGTCCAGATGGACACCAGAGCTATGGATCCCAGTCTGGATGGACACCAGAGCCTTGGATCCCAGTCTGGATGGACACGGGTCCAGATGGGCACCAGAGCCTTGGATCCCAGTCTGGATGAACACCAGAGCTATGGATCCCAGTCTGGATGGACACCAGAGCTATGGATCCCAGTCTGGGTGGACACCAGAGCCTTGGATCCCAGTCTGGATGGACGCTGGTCCAGGTGGACACCAGAGCCATGGATCCCAGTCTGGATGGACACTGGTCTGGATGGACACCAGAACCTTGGATCCCAGTCTGGATGGACACAGGTCCAGATGGACACCAGAGCCTTGGATCCCAGCTGGACAGACCATGGTCCAGATGGACACCTGAGCCATGGATGTCAGCTGGACTCTGCTCTGGACGATCCTGGCCCTGCAGCCCCCAGCCTGGATAGCCTCCAGCCCAGATCACCACCTGCCTGGCCACACCCTGGCCCACCTCACTGGCCCACCAGCACATCCCAGTAGCCCCAACTCCCAAACCCCCCAAAATAAACTCAATTCCAGAACATCAGTATCACCAAAGGGCTACTGGGGACAGCTAAAGGTGATACAGAGACTATCTTCAGAAGGCATGAAAAGACACTTTATTATTAGAAATTTACAGTTCTTATAGAAACAATGGTGGACCTAAGACTCGATTGGCTTTTAGGAATCTTCTCTCACACTGTTGGTGAACTATGAACAGCACACTCTGTAGAACTCTATCTATAAACAATGGTTACAGAAAGAGAGATAATCATTGTTTGAATTCTTTCCTGTAAGTTTCCCACAGCTTCTAAAATCCTGGGAGAGCTATGTCTCTCTCTGTTCAGCAGATTTGTAATTACTACACATCAGTGCCTGGTGGTCCCTGCAGAATTAGGGGGAAACTGAGGCACAGGGTGGGGGTGACTTTGAGATATTGGGAGGGGACTTCGGGAGCCACCCTGGAGACCCCAAAATGAGCACCCACCCCCCCAAACTGTCATCGCAGCATCCCAGGCCCCCCACTGTCATATCGGGGGGCTCCAGGAGCCACCTCGACCCTTCAGTCCTTCCGAGGGGTGACCCTCCGTGTCCCCCTGGTGTCACCGGCGTGTCCCCAGCGGGAGAAGTGACATCACCTCCCAGAGAAGGAGGAGGTGAGGGTGTGACTGAAACTCCTGCCCAGTCACCTGGGGAAGCTGCGGCAGAAGCCGGGGCCGAGCGCGGGCAGCAGCGGAGGTGCCGCGGGGACCGGGGTGGGGGGACACGGGGACACTCTCCAAAGTCCCCAAGTTCCCCTCGGGGGATGCTACGGCCGGGGCAGCGCGGGGCAGCATCCTCGGGGGGATGTGGAGGATGGAAGCGGCGGGGGGTGGCCCCAAAAATGTTGTCTCCCCTCCTATCCGTAGGATGTGGGCCACCCTCGCTTTGGGGCGCTGGTGACAAATTTGGCGGGTGGCGGTGACAAAAAGCGCAGGTGCCACCTCGGGGATGGTAGAGAGAGAGGGTCCTGCGGTGTCCCCCCGGTGCCCCCCCCCCCGCTGAGGGGCACCCCAGGGGGACAAAGGGGGGCTCAGGGATGTCCCCAGGTTTCGGGGCAGCGGGGGGGAAGGATCCGGTCCCGCCTGCTCCCGGGGCACGGGCCGGGTGGGGCACATGTCACTCTGTCCCCCCGGCACCCTGTCCCCCTGTCCCCGGCATGGGGGCTGGCATGGACAGCCACTGGGTGGGGAGGAGAACCCAAAAATTGGGACCCCTGGGTGGGCAGGGGCACCTCGGAGATGTGGGACCCCACAAATTTGGGACACCTGGATGGGCAGATTTGGAACCCTAAATATTGGGGACCCCCTCAAGGCGGGGATGCCAGGTTGGGGATGCCCACCCCACCATGCCCAAATCCAGCCCCTGGACTACCCAAAATGACTCCCCCCATCCCATGCCCACCCAGGGACTCCCAAAATGCCTCTCCCCACCCCACAACTGCAAATCCAGCCCCAAAAATGCCTCCCACCACCCCACCACTCCCAAATTCAGCCCGTGGACCCCCCCAAACACGACTCTCCCCATCCCACCACCCCGAAATCCACCCCCTGAATCCCCCAAACTCTACTCCCCACCCGCCCCCCCGCCCCGGGTCCCCCGCCCTACTGAAGACCTACAAGTTGCCGCCCCCCCCGGAGGGGACACCTAAAGGGGCGGGGGTCCCGAGGGGCCAGCGCTGGGTACACTCCTACAGCCACCCCAACACCGGGGGCGACAGGGATGTCCCCAAGGCCAGTGTGCCCTGGTCGCTGTTCCAGGGGGGATTTTCCTCCCCCTCCAAGTGCCCAGAGAGCCACAGGGACCCGAGGGGACCCGAGGAGACATGAGGGGACACGAGGGGACAAGGCCACCCCTGCAGCGGTACCTGCACTCTGTGGGCAGGAGGAGGGGACACGGCGACAGCGGGGCCAGGGCAGAGCTGGGGGTGCAGGATGGGGCAGGTGAGGGGGGGATTTTTGGGGTGGTTATGATGGGTGGGGGGTGATGATGGGGATGGTTTTGAGGGTGATGGGTGGGGGGTGATGGGTTGTGGGATGGTGATGATGATGGGTGGGGGGTGATGAATTTTGGGGGTGACAATGATGGATGGGCAGTGATGGGGATGGTTTGGGTGTCATAGTTTGGGGGGGCAATGAATTTTGGGGTGATGATGGTGTTGGGTGGGGGGTGATGAATTTTGGGGTGTGGGGTGGAAGGTGCTGGTCTGGCACAGCCCCCCGTGGTGCCCGGTCCTCCCTGTCCCCAGGAGCTGTTCCTGCGTGTCCCCGTGCCAGGACTGGCACTGATGGTGGCACCGGGCCATGCCCCATGGTCGCCGTCCCCACAGGGCAGACACGGAGCCAGCCCAGCTTGGCCCCACGTCAAGTTGTCACTGTCACACTGTCACACCCTCTGGCATTGCCACCCTATGGCCACGTGTCTCCTGGCACTGCCACGCTCATGGTGGCACCTCCACGGCCGTGTGTGCCCTGCTGTCACCACACCCTCCTTCTGCTCCTTGCCCTCCTCGCCCCAGATACCCCCCTTCCCCATCGGGGCCCCTGGGAGTGGGACGAGTGAAGCCAGCCATGGACAAGGACTCTGGGAAGGGACAAAAGATCCAGGGAAGTGACAGGGACCCGCGGAAATAAGAGGGACCGGGAGGTTTTGGGACTCAGTGGGGCTGGGGATGTGTGTGGGGGAAGGGTCTGGGTTGGGTCAAGGCTCCGCTCCTCCCGCACCAACCCCCGCGTCCCACTGCTGGCAGTGTCACCATCGGGTGACCAGCGAGGACGGGCAGGTCTGAGCACCAGGACAGGGCATCCAGGAGCTGCCATGGGTGGAGATTGGGGCGTTCAAGGGGAAGGGGGAACTCAATGCCAGCATCCCCAGCCCCCCCTCTGTCTGTTCCCCCCCAGCTGTCAATCAAACCCTCACTGCTGGGGGCACCCAAAAACCCCGGGGACCCCCCGACCCCTCCCCACCTGCCCAGCCAGGGGGGAGCTGAACAAGAGGGACACGTGATTGGAGTGTCCACTGCTCCCAGTGCCCCCTCCCAGTGCTCCCAGCATCTCAACTCAGTGCTCCCAGTTCTCCTCACAGCTCCCAGCAGGACTCCCTGGTTCCCCTCC